GCAGGCTAGAGTAGAACATACAAGATGCAGGTAGTTCAATCCAGGTCTTCCGTGATGGCAGCCATTGACAACAGAGATGTCAGCTTTTAGCCTGAGTCTGAATTTATGGTCCCTAGGTGAGGAGCCATTCGGCTTGAGGCTCCCATCTCCCGGGGATGGTTCATGGCTGGAAGCCAGCCAAAGGAAGGAGGGGAGGCAGCTTCCCTCCACTCCCTCACAGAGATGGTTTGTGAACACAAGGCTACACTGCTTCTGTGCATCATGGTGGGGTAGGGGGCAGACTCAGGGACAAGCCCACCCACATCAGGGTTCACCGTCATACCACTGAGGCTCTTTATCACGCCAGGCACAGCACCCAAACTTCTGAGTCATCGCTTAGGAATTCCCACTGTGTGTGAGTTTACCCTCTTAGCCTCCCCCACAACCCATTATTGAGCGCCTACTAGGAGTCTTCAATCTGCTTTCGCCAACCCTCGGGGTCAGTGGATGGAAAGATGACAAGACAGATAAACAGAAGAAACAAAGAATGGATAAATGGGTGATGGATGGATGGATGGAGAGATGGAGGGAGGGAAAGACAGAAGGTTAATGGAGGAGAAGGCAATGGTTATAAAGAAGGATGGATGGAGGAATGGGGATCAGACCTCCATTGTCCACACAGTTCTGTGGGGTAAGAACGATCATTCCTGGGCTGGCGAGAGAGCTCAGTGGGTAAAGGCGCTTGCTGTCAAGCCCAACAATCTGAGTTTTCTCTCCAGAATCCACATGGTGGAAGAAGAGAACTAATTTTGTCCCCTGACCTCCACATGTGCCCTATAGTGCACAGATACCCATCCCACAAGCATACGCAAACTAAATATATATAATTTAAAAAGAATTATTATTCATATTTTATAGATAAAATTGACTTTAAAACTTGAAAATATATCTAATTTTGGTGTGGTTGTATGTGTGTGTGTGTGTGTGTGTGTGTGTGTGTGTGTGTGTGTGTGTGTGTATGTGTAACCATGTGTGTGCGAGAGCACGCATGCCACGGTGCACATGTGGAGGTCAGAGGACAAACTCAAGTGTCTGTCCTTACACTTCAACTGGTTTGAAACAGGGTCTCTTGTTCACCATTGTCCATGCCAGACAAGCTGGCCCCTGAGCCTCCAGGGAGTTCCCAGTCTCCATCTCTCCACAGGAGTGCTGGTTTTACACACATGCACTGCTGCATCCAACTTGACTGGATTCTAGAGATCCAGACTCAGGTCCTCACATTTGCAAAGCAAATGCTCTACCCACTCATCCACCTCTTCAGTCCCAGAAACATGAAGAAAACCCTCATTCTAGACTCTGTAGGCTTGCATGTAATAGATGCCCACTTGAAGGTAGAATCCAAGAATATTTCAGATGTGATTACAGATTCTACTGCATGGCAAATATTGTGAACCTGCTCCATCAGGCCTTAGGCTGCAGCAAGGAGCAAATCAGTGCTTCCTTGTAGGTGCTGGTGGCTGTCTTTGTGGTGTTGGGACTGAACACAAGGCTGAGCACCAGGCAAGCACTCTAGCACTGAACTTCAACTCCAGCCCTTCACGGGTCTTACCGTCTAATAGAGACTCTGAAGTCTCCTTACCTAATAAGGAAATTGGTGTTTAGAAAGATCCAGTGATTTCCCCCAAAGTCACATGGTTTGTTAAGTTGCAGGGCCAGAATTAAAATTCACACATATCCAATTCAAAATCCTGCCACTGACAGAGCATCTGTTCTGAAAGACCCAGGGCAGGAAGGTTTGTTTCAGTGTATACATACTTGGCACAGAAGAGGCAATTGGTAGTTTTGTTAAATTAAATGTCTAGGGGGATGGATGGATAGAGATATGGATGTTGGAAGTATAGATTTGTGGATAGTAGGCTGACAGATGGTTGGATGGTGGATAATGGATGGAAAGAGGGACTGGTGAATGCATGGAGATATATATATGTGTGTGTGTATGTATATATATATGCACATATGTATGTATATGTGTATGTGTATATATGGAAGGAAGGATGAATCCATGCCAGGATACTGGATGGGTGGATAGAGAGGCAGGTTCAATGATGAAGGGATGGATGGAAAGATGAGTAAATGGACCCATGGATGAAAGCAAGGAAGGTTGGGTAGAAAGAAGGATAGATGGTTGTCTGGGTGGATGGAAGGAAAGATGGCAGGATGGCTAGCTGGATGAATGAATAGAAGGAAAGATGGATGGAAGGGCGTATGAATGGGTGAACAGAAAGACAGATGGAAGGATAGGAGGGTAGATGAGTGGCTAGAATGATGGATGGATGGATGGATGGATGGGGATCTGAAGAGATCTCTGTTGCCCACAGTTCTGTGAGACAGGACTGACTTATCACTGACTTTCTCAGTGGCAATAGCTTGGGATGCTGCTGGCTTTGGCCAGAGTTGGAGAACAAGTTGGAGTAATCTAGATTCTACATAGATCTAAAAAAACTTTTTTTTCCTCTTCTTTCATTTTTATATGTGTATGGATGTTTGTCTACATGTATGTCTGTGCACCACACGTCTAGTGACTTCAGGGTCCAGAAGCAGCCATCGGTGGCCTTGGAATTGGAATTTCAAACAGTTGTGAGCCACCATTATGGGGGTTGGGAACTGAACTCAGGTCCTCTGCAAGAGCAGCCAGTGCTCTTAATGCTAAGTTAACCCTCCAGTCCTCCATCTCCTCCCTTTTTGAGAAAGAGACACACTATGGCCTGACTGACCCGAAACTTGTAGCTACTCTCCTGCCTCACGCTCCCAATTGCTGAGATTACAGTAGTTAGGAGTCTCCCAGCTCCAAGACCCTTGTTGAGCACTCTCACGTCATGGTCACCTCCCAGGCATCACCCTAACCCCTTCAGCAGCTCCCCCTGCAGAGCACTTTGGGAAGCCATGGAAAGACTGCAGAACAGGCTGAGAAAGGGCTGAGTGAGCATGAGAGAACAGGGGGGCTTCAGCAGATAGGCTGGGGGGAATTCCACACCAAGGTGCTGTTAGCTCCAAGGGGCAGGTCTGTCTGGGTTCACAAACACACTTATAGAAACACAATACACAAAAAGCAACACACATGCATACCAGCCAAGCATCCACAAACATATGTATATATAAATATAAGCATACAAAAATATAATGTATGAACACACAAAATCACAACTCAAGGCTGGGTTAATTCACTTGCTACCAAGTCTGGTGACCTAAGTTTGATCCCGAGGACCCAGACGGTGGAAGGAGAGAAATGACTCCTGCAAGTTGTCCTCTGACCTCCACATGTGCGCTATGGCATGCTTGCATGTATCTACACATTAAATGTACTAAACATAAACAAAAATCATAACTCAAGACATTCTTACACACCATGCACATGTCACACACACAGACACTCTCACACAGACTCCCACTCGGATGGAAAGGTGAATTTGGTTTATGATTTCAATGACACCATCACTGTCCCCCTTCAGATGACAACAGTCAGAAAGCTGTGTCACACCTGTGCATACACACTCATGTCAGATAACACACCCACACCCATAGTCAGGGACATACAACCGCAGACACACTGTCAGATACATGTCCACCCAAAAGCAATCACACAGGGACACACCCACCCTTGGGAGAACACATCTGCACCCTTATGTCAGAGACACACTGAAGTTTCTCTTCACTGCCCCCTCCAAACCCCCAAACCACAGGGGCAGACAGATACACCAAGACATCCCCATATAATGACACTTGGGGCCACAGACACAGAAAAAGACATCATTTGCAAGGGATTGCAAGTCTGAAGACCTGGGCTGAAAGCTAGCTTTTGTGTCAAGTACCATACGTCCCCTGGCCTGGGATTGGCCATACCCTGGTGGCCTCACTCCCTCACATCCCACAGCTGCAGCTTTTGGGAGCAAAGTCCTTTTTTGGTGGGCAGAGGAGAGGTTGTTGTGGATGCAAAAGGGACCAGCGAGGTTGTAACAACATAAAAGGAAGAAGAGGGAGATGGATGGGTGGAATTGAGGGGAGTCCTGCAAACAGACTAAAGATCAGAGAGGCTCCCACAGGGACAGGGAGCGGGGCATGAGGGAAGTTTTCAATGGAAGAGCATCCTTCCCTGTCAACAGGACAGAGCCACCAGGATTAATAGAACTAAGCGTGCCCCTCCCCCCGCAGGAAGCTACCAGGAGGAGAAGCAGGGGGATAAAACAGAAGGGAGACTAATGAGTTCTGCCCCAGTCTGAGCCTGGCTCTTAACTCCCAGGGTGAGGAGTTAGGGAGATCAATATTCAGTCCTCCGGGAGACAGATCATAGGAAGGAAGATGCTGGTACCAGGTGCAGAAGACAGAGAGCCCGGCAAAAAAAAAAAAAAAAAAGAGGGACACTAAGTCAGAAAGACAGAAATAGAAGGAGGGGGGAGACTCAGGGAAAGGAGAGAGAGAGAGAGAGAGAGAGAGAGAGAGAGAGAGAGAGAGAGAGAGAGAGAGAGAGAGAGAGAGAGAGAGAGAGAACTACTCAGTGACACTTAGACACAATCAAGCAAAGTCCCAAAGGCTGAAGATACATGGAGACTCGGAGGTGTCCCCTACCCACTCCAACACAGCAGAACACCCTCCTGGCTCCCCCAAAACCGCCCAGCTCCGCCCCACTCTGCCGGGATCTGGTTCAATTCCGCAGCCCTGCCGCCTCCGCCTGGGGCTTGAGCCAGCTCGTACCCCGGTGGCACTCCGGGTCCCCTCAGAGAGGACGCTAGCCCAGCAAATGCAATCATCAAACCCAGAGCTATGCGGGGAACGAGGCTCCCTTGTGCCTCGGGGTCCAGCCGGGTACCCCCAAGAGATCACGTTCCCCAGAGAAGAAATCCCTGCCTCTACCCGGGATTCTGTCACTTTGGAGCTGTGGGGGTCCCTTTCCCAGGAGCTGTTGCGGGGGCTACGGGCACCACGCCCCCCCTCCGGAGCGCCCCCCAGCCCGACTGGCCACTCACGATTTTCTCCGAGGAGCCCGCGCGGGACACTGTGCTGTTGAGTCCCACCAGTGAGGGCAGCGTCTGCGACATCCAGTTAGTGACCATGGCCATGGTGCTCAGCACCGCCCCGATCTTGAGCAGCGGCACCGACATCGCGCCCCTCGCCTCATGCCCCGCGCCAGCACCCCAAAAAGCAGGTGTTCTGTCCCTTTTGCTCGGCACTCAAGCTGTCGCTTACCCACCCCACGGGGGGTGGGGATAGAGGGCCGCGGTGGCAAGATGACCAGGTCCAAGGGGGCGGTGGCCCGCGGGATGGGGATGGGGTGACACTGGGGACGCGCGGCTGCGGCTCTGCGCGCCTCGCGGGCTCAGCTTTATAAGGCGCCGGCTCGGCCACCCCCTCCCGCGCCACCGCCGGGCACTTCCAGCCGCCGTGACGTCACGGCTCCGGCCCTGGAGCCAGCCGGGCTGGGGGGAGAATGGGGGTGCACCCACCCGTCCCCCCACTCCCCCGCAGAGCTTCTGGCGGACCTTCCCCCACCTGCAGAAGTGGGGACATCCCCTTTCAGCGACACCCTCGCCCCTCCCCCGCCGCCGCGGCATCCCCAGCCCCGCCCCCCAGCCACACACATTTTCCCCCCCCACCATCTTCGCTCTAGTCCCCGCTGTACCCTGGTGGCGATCCCCAGGCTCCCCTGCATGCAACACTCCCTCCCCCAAACCCACCCCACACCTCCCTCCCAACGCTGACAGGGGTGGAAGTCGGGTGTCTCCACCCACCTGCTCGGTCGGGCGCGGAGCCGGGTCCCGAGCCCGCGACGCCGCACAGAGAGCAGTGCGGGCCGGACTTTGGTGCTCTCCCGAGCGCCGGGACTCTGTGCTCCTGGCTTCCCTGGTCCCAGATCATTCTGAAGGGGATCCCCGTGTATCCGGGACCAGGGAAGCCCAGCGTGACGGGTACAGACTCTGGAGTGCGGGTCACTTGGGCAGCAGGAGGGTTCCCCTGCTCATGCGAGGGCGGCGGTGCCACTCGGGACTGCCGCCGACCCAGACAGTTCTTTTTCGCAGGGTTTGACTCACAACTGGAACTTGGGGCGGAGGTGGGGAACTTAAGCATCGGGTCTCCTCCAGCACCCAGGAACCGGCTCTGGGCTGGTCCCCCGGTGAGGGAGGCTGGAAAGCGCAGCGGGCGGCGGGGTGGGGCGAGGAGCGCCCGCGCGGTCGCCTCGCCTCGGCTTTGCACTCACGCCCCCTCCTGGCGTCCCCGCATCACCTCCCGCCGTCGCCGCCGTCGCCCTCGGCCGGCGGCCGCCGCCGTCTGGAGGCGGCGATGACTCAGGCCTTTACCGCGCCGGCCGCTAGCGGAGCCGGAAGCGCCCAACCTCGGGGTGCCGGGGGGTCCTGAACTGTCTCGACCCCGCTGAGAAACAAGTTCTGCTCCTACGTGATCTCCAGCGAGGCCCACTCCGGTCTGTCTCAGTTTCCACATCTGTAAAGTGGTTCTGGGACCGGGTGGGTCAGGTATGTGTAAGAGGCTGGAGGAGGCCTGCCGCTCAGCTACAGACCAAAGCCCATGAGCACTGCATTAGGGAGACGGACAGGACTTGAGGAAGGGCCGTGGCTCAGTGGCAGAGGATTGCCTAACATGTCTGAAGCCCCGGGCTCCATCCCCGCCACCATCAAAAAGGGTGAGGGGAGCGACGGCTCCGTGGGTAAAAGTCCTTGCCACGAAGCCTGGCAACCTGGGTTGGATCTGTAAGATCCACGCGGTGGAAGGCGATCGACCAACTGCCCCAAGATGTCCTTCGACCTCCTCTAGAAGGCGGTGGCCGCGGAGCCACCCACCCCACCCCGTTAGCACATTAAATACGTGTAAGAAGAAATTTAAGTGGCGTAAGAAATAAAGGAAGAGGGCTGGAGAGACCGCTCAGTGGGTAAGAGCGCTAGCTGCCCTTCCAGAGGCACCGGGTTCAATTCCCAGCACCCACATGGCAGCTCACAACTGTCTGCAGCTCCAAGATCTGACATCCTCACACAGACACACAATGTAGGCAAAATATCAATGCAAATAAAAAATAAATAAAGTTTTAAAAAAGAAAGGAAGAAAATGAAGGGCCAATAGGTATCAAAAGGAGAGAGGTGGAGATGTGTGTAGAGGCCCGAGGTATATATGGAGTGCCTTCTTCAGTGCCTCTCTGCCCTGTTTTATCAATTATTTATTTAATTTAGACTTTTCATTTAGTTAGTTAGTTTTGAGACACAGTCTCACTGTGTAGCCCTGGCTGGCTTGGAACTCACAGAGTTCCCGCTGTCTCTGGGATGCAGGGACTAAAGGCATGGGCTACCACACCCGGCGTTCACCTTATTTTTTGATAAGGTCTCTCACTGAACTTGAAGCTTCCTGATTCGGCGAAGCTGGCCAGTCTAGGAGCCGCAGAGCGCCTCCTGTCTCAGCCTCCCCAGCAGCGGGGGGCAGGCATGCCCCATCGGACTTTTGATTTAGCTGTTGGGGATCTGAACTTGTTCTTGGATGGTATGTATTCTACTGACTGAGTCATGTCCCCAGCCCACGAGCACACCTTTAAACCCAGTGACTAGGAAGGTAACAGTTAAGCCACACCAGAAGGTGAAGGGTGGAGCCATTTCAGTACCAGGAGAAGATTTTCCAAGGTGGGGGAAACCTCAGTGCAAAGGACCTGGGGCCCGCAGAGCCGACTAGAGTGCGAGTGAGCCATTTAGTTAAGAAGGGCAGGAATCTAAGGTCACCTGGCTGTGGTGGGCCTCCTGGCTTAGAGAATGACACACTTTCTCACCTCCTCACCTTGGGTGCTAGGAAACAGGCTGTAAGGACTAAGAGTACTTAGAGAACACTCCTCTTCCCAATCCTCCATGCCTCCTAAGCTCCTCTAACTAAAGATATCAAATAGCCTTCCTGGGCTGGCAAGACGGCCCAGTGGATAAAGACACTAACCTGAAATCCTGGGTTTGATCAACAGGACCCATATGGTGGAAGGGGAAAGCCAACCCCTCACATTGTCACCTGACCTTCACACGCTTGCCATAGCACGTGCCCACATACACAAAATAAACGTGATTTAGTAACCTTCCAGTCTCCATACTCATTCCCTTCTGGAAACACCTTATCATTTCCTCTCGCTGTCCCTGCCACTCTGCTTTCTCCGTGTCTAGGTCTTTCCACCTTCCCCTACTCCCGGTTTCTGCGTGTTTATGTGGCCCATCGAACCTTTCTCCTGTCAGGACCTTTGCTGTCCTTGCTGACAACATTTTCCTGCGGAAATCCCGTTGGCCTGTTCATGTCCTTCACTCAAGTCTCTGCCATGGTGGGGGTAAGCAACATGCCCTGTCCTCCAGAAAATGACATTGCCTAGGACTTTGCCCAGCACAAGCCTTGGGAAGGAGCAGGTAGAGACTGGGAAGTGGGAAGGGGGGAGAAGGGGGAATATGGTTTCCTTTTCTTTCTGCCTGGAGTGGTGTGGGGCTTTTTTTCTTTTTCGAAATTTCTAATTACATTTACTTATTGTTTGTCGATGTGGTGAGCCACAGAAGTCAGGGAACAACGTGTGGGACATTGTTCTAGCGCATGTGTGGAGTCCAGGAGAGGGCATCGGCTGTTCTGTACGGCTCTCCATCTCTTCCTTTGAGGCACAGTCTCTACCTGAACCCGGGCTCAAGTTTGGCTAACTGGAAGCCAGAAAGCCCCGTGTTCTTTCTGCTTCTGTGTCCCCTCAGAGGTTCAGTCCCAGGCATGAGTGTGACTCTGTGTGACTTGTTACACAAGTAATGGGATTCAAACACCCTCATGGTTGTTCAGCAAAGCCTTTAACTGCAGAGCCATCTCAGGGACTGTGGGGGAGGGGTGTTTCTCACAGGGGATACCCTCTTCTCACATCAGATGTACATATCTGGCGTCAATATCAGGAATCTTCCATCATTTTGTTTATTGAGTCAGGGTCTGTCAGTCAAACTAAGAACTTGCCAGTCGACTAATCTAGGCACGCAGCCAGCTCCTTGTCTCTGCCTCCCAGATGTCTGGGTCACCTGCCCAGCATTAAAGTGGACCCTGGGCTTCTCAACTCAGGTCTTTATGCTCACGTGGCAAGCCATTTCCCCAGCCCTGAATGTCATTTTTGTTTTATTTATTTTTAATTTTATTTATTATTATAATTTATTTTTGGTTGTGTTTCCTTGTTTTCTGTGCTGGGGATGGAACTCAGGGCCTCATACATGCTAAGCACACATTCTGTCTTGGATTCATACCCCTAGCTCCAATATGGCTGAATATTACCTGAAGAAATTTCCCTGGCCACCTCCTCTGAAGTCAGAGCCCATCTGCCTTTACCTTGTTGAAGTACTTCTTTATAAGATATTTTTCTTCAGTGCTGGGGATCAAGTCCAATATCTCATGCATGCTAGGCAAACACCCTACCACTGAGCTACATCTCCAGCCCCCAGCCCCTATGGGAGGACAGGGTCTAACGTATCCCAGGCTGGCCTGTATAGCCAGGGGTGACCTTGAACTCCAGCTTTACCTCCGGGAATTGGAATGGCAGCGTGTGTAAGAAATTGCTCTTAACTGGTTGACCAAGTATATCTCTGACCAAGGCTTATTTGTGGTCCAAATCTCCACCAAGAGTTCACCCCTCCACATCTACCTGTTTCTCAGACTCTCTGTGTATCACATGAGGCAAACAACTCATGCTACCCACTACAATTAAAAGTATCAGAGGGGCTGGAAAGCTGACTCAGAAGAGCACTGACTGCTCTTCTGGAGGACTTGGGTTCAGTTCCAGCACCCACATGTCAGCTCTCAACAGTCTGTAACTCCAGTACCATGGGATCCAATGCCTTTTCTGGACTCCCAGAGCTCCTGCACATATGTGGTGTACTTCTGTACAATCAGGCACACATACATAAAAATAAATACTTTTAAAAAAGAGTATGTGAGAGGCTGGGGAGATGGCTCAGTCCATAAGGTGTTTGCCACACGAGGTTCTCAGTTCAGATTCCCAGAACCCATGTAAAAACCTGGTATGGTGGCTCATGCATGTAATCTCTGCCCCGGGGGTGGGGTAGAGACAGGAAGACCCTGGGGAGGCTCTCCAGGCAGCCTAGCTAGGTCAGTGAGTTTCGGGTTTAGTGAGAGACTATCTCAAAAAATAGTAATGAAATAGAGAAGTGATTGAGGAAGACACCCAAAATTAACCTGTGACCACCACATACATGTGTACCTATGCGCACACGTGCATGCACACGCACATGCGCAAACACACACACACACACATACACACACACAGTATCAGAGCTGGTCTGTCTCTGTTGGTAGAGTGTGTCCCTTTATGACCTGGGTTCCATGCCCAGTGTTGCATAAACCAGGTATGGAACATACCTATAATCCCAGCACTTGGAAGATAGAGGCAGGAGAATCAAGAGTTCAAGACCAGC